AACAGCGAGCCCTCCGGTGACAAGCTGCTCACTCTGTTGAGTGGCCTCTGAGCGTGGGGCTGCCGGCCGCCCCTCGGGACAGTAGCTCTCACGCAGGGAGAGCTGTGTTTTCGACATGATGCTCCTGCCAAGGAGACCTCTTTGACACCTGAGCAGAAACGTGTGTTGACGCTTGCACGCTTGCCTTGCACGCTGAGCTTTGGAAGCCTGGTGTGTCACAGTGGAGAGCACCCCCACTGCCCGCAGCCCATGCTCTGCCACCGGGCGTCTTGTTACGGCAAACGGCTACTGCACCGGGGTCACAGCGCCTGGCTCGGGGGGGCAGGCTCCCCCTGGGGACGGTGTGGTGCGCCTCGGTTAGCAGCCGTGTCTGGCGGCCGCGTTCCTCCTGGTTTATGAATGGAGAGGCTAAGACGGTGGGACCCGTGTGTCCTTGTGTCTGAAAGCTTCGAGAATTCCGGGTAGAAGTAAGGGACAGTAAAGGCTGGAGAAGACAGTGGGGGACACACCCTCCTTCTTCGTGGCCGGCAGGCCGGTGACTGTGGGGAGAGGTCCCACGGGACAGGAACCGCACTCCTGTGACTGCTCATTCACCGCCTGCGGACCAAGCGTGAGGGCCGGGTGGTGGAGTGACTCGCTGTCCGTAGGGCAGTGTCCTGCTGGCGGCCATCTGTCCTGAGCCTGAGACAGGAACAGCCTCTCCTGGGCTGGCCCCGGAAGTCACTAGCTTGGGTTTCCTGCCGTGTGTCACACACACAGGCGTCCTTGGTCCAGTGGTGGAGGGCAGGGTTCAAGTGCCACAAGCTGGGCCGTGGACGAGGCTGGTGGCCTCAGTGACCAGTACGTCTGTAACCATCTGCATGGAAAGTAAGGCGGACGGGACGGAGCAGGGTGAGGAGTCCAGTGCGGGCCCTTCCCCTGGGAGGAGGCGGGCGTTGCGGTGGCGAGCCGGGTATCGTGGGCGGACAGGCAGGGCGGCCCAGCCCCGGGGTCCAGGGCCGGACTGAGGCAGAGGGGGACACCTGTGGGAGGTGCTTTGAGTTGCCTGTGGCTGGGGGCGGGAGGGAAGGACAGATGGCTCTTTGCGTTTTGCGTGTCAGCCTTGTGGGATTGTCAGGATGGAGCGTTTTGCAAAGTCGGACAGAGCTGGGTTTGGAGGCCGGCTCTGCCGCGATGTACCGCCGAGAGCCTGGCCTGTTCCTTAGGCATTGGGCGTGTCCTGGTGTGCGACACGCTCTGAGGGTGGCCGCGGGCGGCTCAGCGAGGCAGCGTCCCCGTGCTCGGCGCCCAGCAGCAGCCAGCAGCACCCCTTCCTCCTCTGAGGGCTGGGGGCCTGGGGCGGCGCGTCGGGGGTGGTTTCTGTCGCTTGTCCCGGAGCCGGTTGGTGGGGGGCTGCTTGCTTCCAGTGAAGAGTGTGGACGCACTAGCGTTGCCAGCCTCTGCCGTGCGCCCCCTCCTGTGGGAGTGCCCTCGGAGACACGCACACGTGGCCATCCTGACCTCCCTGTCTGCGGAGGAGGTGGCCACGTGTGCTCCCTGCCACAGGCCAGGGCACCAGGGCTCAGGGAAGGCAGCAGGCTGGGGTCAGGCCTGCGACGCCCGCATGGCGTCCTCTCTTCCCGTGGACGCTGTGATGAAGTGGCCAGTCGCTTAGGGAAGGGACGGTGCCCGCAGCGACGGCCCCCGCTCGGTGTGTCTGTGCCCGAGGCACTGCCACCGCAGCGCACCACAGGCCGACGGCCCGCACACACACAGTTCTGGAGCGCAGAGGCCTGACGTCGGGGCGCGGGCAGCGTCCCTCCAGAACCTGGCACAGCCCCCGGCCTCTGGCTGCGAGGGTGCGGGCAGTCCTTGGCGTCCTAGGGCCTGTGGAGGCGTCATCGCCGTCTCTGCCTCGTCACACGCCGTCTTCCCGTGTGTCTCCGTGTCTAACAAGGACAGGAGTCGTGTGGGGTGGAGGGCCACCTGCTCCATCCAGCGTTAGCGCATCTGAGCCGGTCACATCTGCACGGGCCTCTCCCAGCGTTGTTCGCCCGAGGGGCTGGGGGTAGGCCGCACGTCTCCTTCCTGGGAACACGGTGCGACCCCCTAACACTCGTCCCGTTAACAGCGCGAGCGAAGCGTGCTCAGTGACAGGCCTGCTTCAGTCCCCATGCCCTTCCCGACAGCAGGCGTCGTGTGCACGCAGGGCGGTGGCCCAGTGGGACTCGGCAGCCCAGGGGCGCCCTCAGTGGGGATGCTGGCGCGGCGGGACGTGGCTCCGCTCTGTG